CGTAAAACTGTATTTCGCTTTAGGTGAAAAATACACCTCAATCGATGTTCATAAAAGTCAACAAGAAAGAGAGTTTATAGTACATTTATCGTTTGCCTAAGGTTCCGACTCCATCCTTCATGCTGGTGGTTATATTTTTAAAGCCAAGATAAACATCGAAAAAGAAAAAATATAATATTCCTATCATCTTAACGAGGACCATACGAAAAAAGAAATGTCGTTAGTACGCGTAAATGTTTTTACTTTTAATATCCGAATATTTAATAATAAACCTAGGCCAAACGACTTCGCTCTATGGGATATTCCGTGGTTCTATTTATCGGAAATTCACTTAATTTAACGACTTAAAAAATGGAACTCGAAAGCAGACAACAATACATGATAGACAAACAAGAAGAGTTGAAAATAAAGTTGAGACAGTACAATTCATGCAGGAAAACATAGAGTAGAATCGATTCTGTTTTCAAAACAGCGAGTGTAGTTCTAACGATAGGAACAACACTTGCAACGGCCGTGACTGGTGGATTAATGGTTCCTGTACTTGTCCCAACTGTATTAGCCACAATTACTGCTATTCAAACTTCATCTTGTGGCTTGATTGCTATAGGTTTCACGAGCAAAAAGAAAGCTCATTATAAAAAGAAAACGGATATCTTGAATATGTATCTTAATCAATTGTACATTTTTTTCGAAAATCGAGAGAAGACAAGAACATAACAGTTGAAGAATTACAAGAATTCAATGAAATTTTGGACAAATTCCATACAGAAATATCAGCGGTCAAAATAAAGAAATAATCAAAAATATATACTTAAAAAAATATGAATAAAATCGAACTTGATGAAACATTGATAGAAAACGCCCTATTTTCCGATGTTATCAAGGCTATCTCTGATAAATTTAAAACATTCAAAGGCCAAATTAAAATAGATGGAGAGATAGTCGAGGAAGGGAATCACAGACAATACATGTCGCTCCTCGGTTTCAATGCCAAAACTTTTCACAATATCTTTTCAAATATGGACAAAAAATCCGATGCTTCCGATTGGTATTTTACAGGAAAAATAATTTTAATGAAAGACAATTTCCAAGAAATAAGAAGATCGAGAGTTGGTAGAGGAGGAACTGATTTACTTAAAAAGATAAATGAATACGAAGGCGAATATTGTTACATACCTACAGATGGTCACTGTTTTATCAAATGCGTCAATCGTGTTTTAAACGAAGACTACACGAGAGAATTTCAAGAATACATCAACGGGTTTTCAAAAGCAAATAGAAAAAGAGTGATGACTTGTGCTAGAATGAAGAAATTCAACAAGAAATTCAACACTTCGTTTCAAATTTATAATCCCAAAAACAGACATTTTCATCCCAGAGACGTTCACGATGAATTAGATTGGGTGTTTTACTTACACAACTCGCATTTCTGTCTGATTAGAAGAAGCCAAAAAAGTTTGGGAATTCAAGAAATAGAAGACAATTACGAACAGGTGTGGAAAACGTGTAGAGACGACAACGCAGTTACACAGGTTTCACCTCTCAAACTAAACGTGCTTTCGAGTATGAGCGATGATGCGTTATTCGCTTGGGATTGCGAAACGTATTCAGAAAAAGACACGCGAAGAGCAATTCCATATTGTTGCACTTTAATTAATTTAGAAAAACTAAGGAAAATGTTAAACAGAATAAATAATCTCTTTCCAGATTTAAAGTCATCAGATCCC